CGCTGTGCACATGCAACCTTTTAAATTTCTTAAGCTAGAGGGCAGAAGAATGCAGCCATTGAAACAAATGATGCTTCATTATGTTCCCAATAGATAAGTATGCACTCTAAAGTCACAATACAGGTTTTGTTGAACGGTTTTGTTGATCGCATCAAGGATGCCGTGTTTTTCAGAGATCGACATATGTCGACCACAGCAGTGTAAGTGTTAAAAACAGGTGATACGCCTAACTTCCAAATATAATTGTTCAAGGTTAACAAACAGTAATACTTTTTGCTTATGAGTTCCTTTCAGGCCTGTACTTTTAACCCATTCTTCCTTTGCTGGCTACATCAGAAACAGCTCATCTTCATAAAGCATCTTTGCTTTCTGTACAGTTATTTCAGGAAGTGTTTTTTCCAGATCTTTTGCTAGCCTGGCTGTAATACTTTGTTCCTTCCTTAATTCATGAGCTTTATTTATCATATATTTAGAAATACACAATTTATCTGCTGTCCGTTGAACCGCGTAACTTTTTGGCACTACTGTCAACAAGTTCAGAACTGCTTATTCAGAAGACATCGTTTTTGCTTTAATTCATCCATTAAAATAGGGTGATCATCATATACTTCTTAAGATTGTTTTCTGCAGTTATCGAAGACTTGAGATAATAATATGCTAGGCAAAGTGAGTGCTTTGGCATTTTCGAAGTGACGATTTGCTTATGCAACCTTTCTTTTTCTACAATCTAATCTGTTTCTTTTGCAACATATGCATTTTCACTGGAGTGCACCCTAAGGTAGTTACAGAGAAATATGGATTTTGAGCTCTCATTTCTTCAGAGTCTTAACCTGAGACATTCCTGACAGGATTTTTATTCATGGATTTTTCCCCTTCAGATATTGTTTTTCGTTTTAATACTCATCATAAACTTACTTCTACATTATTTGCATAATTTTATGTGTTTAATTAAGCTAGTATCTCTTTTCTGGTGTCAACATATGTCCATCTTAATTCATTTTTAATGGTTATCTTGTGGTTTCTGAATGAACTACAACAAATGTTTTTTGGGGTGTATAATAAAAGGTGGTTCAAATATGACCGGGACTGATTTGTGTGTAAACAAGCCGCACTGCACAGCAGCTGTGCGACCTTGAGAGAGTGAAGCCACAACCTCCACCCTCCCTCCTGTTCAGGTTAGAACCTGTTCAGTCCTGTCTGGGAGTTGCTAGAGTGATGAGCGAACAGAAGGTACCGCGGAACCTGGAACAACGCAGTGTGATCAGATTCCTCGGAGAAAACATCCTGTCTGCTGAAATTCACCACAGACTCCAACAACAGTATGGGGAAGAGTGTCTCTCATGGACACACATGTTTGAGTGGTGTAAGTGCTTCAGAGAGGGCAGAGAGCGCATGGAGAATGAACCACGTGATCGTCGGCCGCGAACATCCGTCACCGAGCCAAACATCGATCGTGCAGACGCGCTTATTTGTGAGAATAGGCACATCACTATCAAGGAACTTGGAGCAATGCTGTCCATAGTGTTGGTAGAGTAGAAGACATCGTGAAATACCACCTGCACTATTGCAAGGCAAATGCACGGTGGGTACCACGCACTTTGATGGACGTGAACAAAATGGTGCGCATGCAAGCTGCCAGTCGTCTCCTACAGCAGTTTGAAGGCGAAGGTGATGCATTTTTGAAGGCTGTAGTGACCACCGATGAAACGTAGGTGCACTACTTCATTCCCGAGTCCCAGCAGTCATCACGCAAGTGGCGGCATACCAGTTCTCCCAAACCCAAGAGAGCACAGAGGAGCCATTCGGCAGGAAAAGTGATGGCAACGTTCTTCTGGGACTGGCAAGGGGTTATCCCTGTAGACTTTCTGACAGATGCCAGAACGGTCAATGCAGCTTATTACTCAGACCTCCTGGCAGCAGACGTGAAGGAAAAGTTCCGATCCAAGCGGAAGACAGGTGGAAAGTGGGTAGCCTTCCTTCAAGACAATGAACGCCCCCATACAGCCAAAACAACAATGGAAACCCTCTGGAATTTGAAATGGAACCTTCTGACACATCTGCCATACAGTCCCGATTTGGCCCCAAGGTATTTCTACCTGTTCGGAAGGCTCAAATCAGACTTGCAAGGCATGTGGTTTGTGGACAGCGCCATCATCCATACTGTTCAGGAGTGGATACACTGCCAACCACAAGCCTTTTTTGAAAAGGGCATCAGGATGCTTCCAGAACATTGGAAAAAATGTGTTGACTCTGGAGAGGAGTACGTTGAAGACCAACATGTGCGAGTAAGTGTTTGGCAATTATGGTTTAAAAAAAAATCAGTCCCAGTCATATTTGAGCCACCTTGTATATTGACAGCAGTAATATTTTCATGGTGAAAGCAGATACTTGCAGTTTCCTCTGCTTCTATTTATGGTCCACAACAATATCTTGTTTTGATTTTTTATTTCTGCATATAAGACCAATTCTTCTTGTATATCATTTTAAATTGTAAAGTATTCTGTCTGTAATGCAGCAAAGTCAGCCCTTTCATAAAGACACAAAAATGTATTTAATTCATTAAAAGTGTGTATTAAATATTTTAAAATGTCATAAACTATGTAGATTCGTTGTCATTGCTACATGTTTCGGCTGCACATGGGCCATCGTTAGGCAATTATTATTTGGGGAGACCACTTCTCTGTATACTTTGTCCTTAGTATCCTCGACACATCGTTGTTTGTTAATTTCCTTCATAGGATATTTTCATCCTATCTTTTTTAGCAGCTGTTTCACTGTTCCTTTTTAGTGTATAATTCACTTTACTTGTGTGTCTGGTGCTGTTTGTTCCTTGTACTGAATGCCCCAATGCAACAGGATGCTCAAATATAATCTTGTGTATGTTTTTAAATTACACTCTGTGTACCATTAATTTAAAGCACAAGGGTTATTAGTAGGAGGCCTACAATTTCCAAAAGACATCTACACAACAAAGGTAAAAGGAATACCATTGTTGGTAGAGTTATCTGCTAACTCAGCTCTGTGTTGTTACTGATTTGTTAATTTTAGCAGTATTTCCAGATTTTTTTAATACCTGTCAGTGTTCCAAAGTCTCCAAAAGAAGGATGAACATGATGTTCGTTCATAATTACATATTTTGATTTCTTGACAGTGGAGCAGAAGTTAATTCTGGTTATTGTTTCCCCCCCCCAAAATAGGGAAAGAATTTGTTTATACTGGATAAAATTTTCAGCTTTATGAGTGCAATCCCATAGTGTTTTTTTAATTGTTTAAAGAGGGGCTTGTACTTAGGCAATAACTAAAAAACTATTGTAGATATATGTATAAACGTTTGCCTGTAGATTCACTCACTCGTGGAGTTGAGCCCTTCTTGAGAAGCCGCCAATTATGCAGCTACTCAAGAAGTTCTCAGGGTTTTATGGAACCTGAAGGTTCATTACCATGTTCACAAGAGCCCTCCACTGTTCCCTGTCCTGAGCCAGATCAATCCAATCCATACCATCCCATCCTATCTCTCTAAGATCAATTTTAATATTGTCCACCCACCTACGCCTTGGTCTTCCCAGTGGTCTCTTTTATTCAGGCTTTCCCACCAATATCCTATATGCATTCCTTTTCTCCCCCATTCGTGCTACATTTCCTGCCCACCTCATCCTCCTTGACTTGATTATTCTAATTATACTTGGAGAAGAGTACAAGTTATGAAGTTCATTATGCAGTTTTCTCCAACCTGTCAGTTCATCCCTCTTTGGTTCAAATATTCTCGGCAACACCCTGTTCTCTAACACCGTCAGTCTATGTTCTTCCCTTTCACACCTATGCAGAACCACAGGCAAAGTTATGGTTTTGTGTATTTTAATTTTTATGTTTTTGGATAGCAGATGGAAAGACAAAAGGTTCTGGACTGAATGGTAGCAAGCATTACCCTAGTTAAATCTCCTCTTAATTTCCTCCTGAATGAGGTTTGATTTGTTTTGGTCATTGCCAAATATCTGAACTGTGCCACATTTTCAAAACATCTGTTACCTATCTTTATGTCATGATTTTGCCTTGAATTTTGGTGATGCGATAGCAATGAATACTTAGTTTTCTCTGCTTTCACTTCTAGGCCAACCTCACTAGCATCAATTAAAGTTTGTGTGTTTTGCTATATGGTATCTATATGATCCCCCAGAGATTCACATCGTCAACATAGACCAACAGCTGATGTGTCCCACTTAATTTCACACCCATCTGATTTTCCTGGACCTTCCTAATGGCATATTCTAAAGCAAAGTTGGAAAGCAGTGGCAGTAAAGCATCCCCTTCTTTTTGACCATTCTAGATAGGAAAATTATCAGACATGTGTTTACCAGTTTGGACTTAACCATATGTTTCGTTTAATGACATTTTAAATCATTTAACAAACACTTTTAGTGAATACATTTTAGTGTTCTTTTAAGAAAGGTGAATTTGTTGCATTATAGATGAAATATTTTAAAATTTTAAAAATGGTGCCCCAATGCAAGAGGATGCTGAAATATAATCATCTCATAAGCCTACTTTTATTTTTTCGAAGTAGTGAAAGTAGGGTAATACAAATCATAAAAATGATGATGGTGTGGTTGAAAATTATATTTCAGTTTTTATTCATTTGTCGTGAAATGACCCAAGTACTGTTTTTATAATGACTTAAAACAATAGGCACATGTGCTAATCATCTGCAGTTGATAAATTGAGTTTGCTTTTGAGAGTGGTCATTTTGCTATTTGTGAACACATGTAATAGATACATAAACTGAAGGAGAATTCTAGCTCCCTTACTGTCATTTTAAACATATTTGGTGGACTGCTTATAAGTACATCAGCTCATCTGTTACCAGATTGCAGTGATTCAGCTCACTAAGCTTGAGATAGTTGAAGTTCAAGAGCGAGAGAGTGAAGCATGATGTAATGCTGTTTTTATGGTGTTAAAACATATTTCCTGTTGTTATTGTTTTGAATATGTACATTTCGTTTCAGTACATTACTCTACCTAAAGTTTCTAGTATTATGGGCCCTGGTGTTGCTTGCTGATTTTATCCTGGAGTTCCGATTTGAATTCCTGTGGCCATTTTGGCTGCTACTTCGAAGTGTCTACGATTCTTTCAAATATCAGGGCTTGGTGAGTACGTTATGTTACTACTAGGACCTTTCTCTGGTAGTGAAAATACCTATTAGCTGTGGGTTGTCCATTAGAATCTGGGCAAGAAGAAATAACATCCTCACTCATATATTCGTATTCCGTATTGAGGGGGTGGGTTTCCCCATGCACTTAGACCGGTTATTGGTCCATTGTGCGTCCCCCTTTTAATTTCTACTGTCTCCATACCCTACTGGTACTGGTGCTCGCTATTAGCCCCTTTCTGCCAGCGAGGTTCCAACCTTCTACTGGCAGTGGTATCTAATAGTTAGTCCCTTTCCGTCAGAGAGGTCCCCCCTCCTCTGGCAGTGGTACCTAATACTTCCCCATCTACCGGAGGCATTGGAAACTACTTTGGGCTGGAAACTTTTTTTTTTT